TTAGCGGCTGTTTTTGAGAACTTCCGCAAAGTCTGTAAACAACACTGCGGCCTTGACCCAGCCAACCATTATACGGCGCCGGGCCTGTCGTGGGATGCCCTCTTAAAATACTCTGACATCCAATTGGAACTACTGACAGACATCGACATGCATTTGTTCTTTGAAAGGGCCAAAAGAGGCGGGATTTCTTCTGTGGGAGCCAAACGATATGCAAAGGCCAATAATCCAAAACTACCCGACTACGACCCGAATAAGCCAGAGTCACAGATCATGTACTTAGACGCAAATAATTTATACGGCTGGGCGATGAGCAAATATCTGCCTGTAGGGGAATTTACCTGGGAAACAGACTTAGAAAAATTCAATTATTATTACATCCAAGAGTTGCGACTAACTGACGACTACGGTTACATGTTTGAGATTACTATGGATTACCCGGAACGTCACCATGACAAACATAATGACTTTCCACTCGCACCCGAAAATATGTCGGTACCGAACGAATGGCTTTCGAGTTACCAACAGGATTTAATTGGTAATGGCGAGCAAGTGACCTCAGTAGACAAACTCGTGGCTACTCTCGACACCAAAGAAAAATACGTGGTTCACTATCGTACACTGCAAAAATATCTCAAACTCGGGTTGTGGATCAAAGAAGTTCACCGGGTACTGCGTTTCCGTCAAAAGCCGTGGATGAAAAGCTATATTGACAAAAACACGAAATTGCGCAAATTGGCCAAGTCTGATTTTGAGAAAGACTTTTTCAAATTGATGAACAACTCGGTCTTTGGCAAGACGATGGAAAATGTTGGATATCGAATTGACGGTCATTTACTGAGGGACGTACAAGACGCAGACAAATACAAAAAATTAACTTATAAACCGAATTATAAATCGACGGTACCATTTGAGGACTGTTCCCTTTCGTTTGTGGAGATGTACCGAACCAAAACAAAATTAAATAAGCCAATCTATTGCGGTGTAAGTATTCTCGATATCTCAAAAACGTTAATGTACGATTTCTACTACAACGAACTAAAATCAACTTTTGGTGAAAAAGTAAATTTACTTTACACAGACACTGATTCTCTATTTGTTCAAATCGAGCGAAGCTCTGACGATTTAACTGGTTACCTAAACGAAAAGCGTAATTTATTTGACTTTAGTAATTACCCGCCCAATCATCCGCTTTACAGCGTCAAAAATAAAAAAGTTATAGGCAAAATGAAAGACAAATTTGGTGGCAAAACAATTTTAGAAGCCGTTTGTATTAGGCCAAAAATGTATTCGATCTTAACCACTGATCACAATTTAAAGAAGGCGAAAGGGGTTTCCAAGGTAGTAACCGAGAAAAGCTTAACCCACGGAATGTATAAAAGCTGCCTATTTGACAAAACGCATTATTGCAATAAACAACAACTATTTAGATCGGATAAACATCGAGTGTTCACCATTTCACAAAATAAACTTAGTTTGTCACCTTTAGATACAAAGCGCTACATATTACCGAATGGAATCGATACGTTGGCTTACGGGCATAAGCAAACGAAGTGAGCTGACGGAAATTACCTACTCCGGTAATTCGGTGTCTTCGGGTACTACCTGAAGTTCCTCTTTGACGAAACTCCTATTCGGGCCGTTTAAAAGGTAGTATAAAGTTGGACCCGTTTTGACGCGTTTTCCTTTCACCCGTTTAAATTGACTAGTTCGCTTTTCAATTTGGTAGACGTCCACGGACCAAATCGGATCTGCCGCCCTTCTGACG